TGTGCTCTGCCCACCACGGGTATTGAAACCCGGATTCTAGCATTGTAAGTCTGCAGACATACCACTGTGCCACTGGGGGTTGAGAAAATAATGAAGGCTTGAAAATGGGGAACCAGAGAGTGCAATGGAAGGCAAGGGGCCCAATCCCCAAGCAGGACAAATAGATACCAAAGACAGGGAATTGAGAAAGGAGAGGAAGAATGTCTACAAGTCAGGACAAAAAAGGTCACAAACAGAAGGGGGACAAGGCATTTGGATGTGAGAGAAGAGCTATTAGAGAAACAGTATAACAGTATAATTATCATGCAGCTGCGCATTTTTCATGCTAAACACATGAATTTAGGTGGGAGTTACTTCAAGGCTAGTGACGTGCAAATCTCATACGCAGATATGTAAGAAAGATAGCATTTGTGTGTAATGAGGTGGGCTATCTTCTTGGAAATAAGATTTAAGAGAATCATAACCCTATCTGCCAGAGCATCATTTACTGTGCATGTCACAAAGTTTTAGTGACTTACATTCAAAATTTAATTAAACTACTTTTTATTTGTGTTATACCACTTAGTATAGCATAAAATCTTAGCTCATAATCCATATTTTAATAGTATACAAGTTTTAAGTTCTTAATTTCATAAGGAAATATTTTAAAAAATCCTGAATTTCCCCTAGCATGACACATTTTCTCTAGGCATATCCTCTTCTCTGTTTTATTCACTCATCCAATAAGCATGAAATTAAACATAAATTACCCACTATAAAATAGTCATTGTTCAGACAAACCATAATTTTTTATAGCCTTCAATTTTGTTTGGTTACAGAGCCATCAAATAGAAAATCAGACCCCCCCTTGCCACACCCTACTGTCACATCCTCTCTTTCAAGATTTGTTAATAGTTCTCTCTTATGTTTAATTCTATATTATATATAACCAATATAAAACCAAGGTTTTCATCTATGAAATGATGTATATATTACATTGTTTTCCGAATGGAGAATTGTTAAGTTTTCTGTCAGTAAAAGCTTTGTTCCCAGATAACGACTAGCTTGGAAGAATTTGCAACGGCTCTTTTTGTATAGTTAGAAAGGCAGAAAAATTGTGATAGAGGAAATTGTCTACTTTTCGCATGTTATTATTTTATGTTCTTTGGTGCATTATTTAATTAAATAGAAATTATTTAGTGCATTACTATCATTAGTATAAAAAGTAGGGTTAAGATGCACCGACATTCAACAGCAAAAAAAAAAGATTACTTGGGTAAGTACTTTATTTCTTGTTTATTATTTATTTATTTATTTATTATAAAAGTTACTAAAATGTAAAAATAGGGATTTCTTTAGGTTATTTAACGTTAGATTATGTAAAATAATAATATAATAGAAATGTTTCACAAGGCACGCAAGTGAGCAGCTTGTGGGTAAAGTAGGGTTAAGATGCACCGACATTCAACAGCAAAAAAAAAAGATTACTTGGGTAAGTACTTTATTTCTTGTTTATTATTTATTTATTTATTATAAAAGTTACTAAAATGTAAAAATAGGGATTTCTTTAGGTTATTTAACGTTAGATTATGTAAAATAATAATATAATAGAAATGTTTCACAAGGCACGCAAGTGAGCAGCTTGTGGGTAACGTAATTATTTGATAGCATTACACGAGCTGCACATTACCCAAGTGACTTACAACTTATAATGGCATGAAGAGTAGTTAGACATGGTTCAAAAGGCAATAAAACAATAAAATTTAATTATAAATAGATGTATACTGTTATAAGTTTAAAGCTACTTAGGATAAACAAATGTAGTTTCATGTTATAATTTTAAGTCATTCTAGAAAGTAAAAAAAAGAGTTAGTTAGATTTATCTTGATTTCTTTTTTTTTGGTTACAAGGTCAGTCAAATTGGCCAACCTTGTATAGAGTTGGGGTAGAAAAAATAACAAATTAAAAAATTAAAAGTTAGTAGTATTAAAGCTATAAAGACTTCTTATACGAGAAAAAAAAGAGGTCAAGTGGTCAGTCAAATTGACCAAGCCCATGTTGTGAGAGTTAACAAATAAAGGCTTAATAATTATAAACATTATCAATAATAGATGGTAAGATAATGTACAAACTTGAAGGTATAAAAAAAAAGATGCATTGCATCTGTGTAATCATTGGGAACATATTAAGTTAATACTGTACAGTAGTGTGATGTTACTTACATTGCAACAGTCTTAACAACCATGAACTTAGTTCTACACAAATCAACAACTGAATGGGTAAAAGTCATAAATCACTGGAAGGAGTGCAATAAAGTTAAAGTACATGACATGATTACACTTTCTCCAAAAATAATATTGTATCAAGAACCATCACTGTAGCACTTTGTATACATTTTCATTCCATTTCATATATGTTATTTCTTTCATAAACACAGTGTTATAATTATTGAGTCCATAAGTATTGTTGTCTTGTTAAATTCAAAATAAGCATTGCTAATAATAAATGCAAAGCATAAAACAACTTATTTAATAAACTAATAAGCTTATTTCTAGGTTTCATTTCAAATAATAAAATATGAATAATTCCCCAATGGTAAATGGTTATTTTTTTTTACTTTTAATCGGTATTGTTCACTGTAGACATAGTATACTACTTCTCCAGTTAGATAAAGAAAACTAGCTTGCACCAAGTTACTGACAAAAGCCCAGATCAAATCAAAACTTGGACACACTAATAGCAAATTACTAAAACAGTCGATGGTGGTTTCCTTTTCAGGTAGATAAGCTTTTGCCAAACAAAAATTTTGTTGCCATCATGAACAGGTTTACAATTTGCTACTAGTTGCTGGATTAAAGTTTTGATTTGCTTTGACAAAGGTTCTGAAACAAAACTTATAAATGTAGATAGGCTGTCTGAAAATTAGATCAAAGCATTTTTTTTATTATAAACATTATTATTTGAGCTTACCTTTTGCATGGCTTGACAATGCATACTAACCCATTGCAGATAAGTTGATTGTTTTTTTGCAAGAAATGCAAAGAGCTTTGCTTAGGTTCTTCACATCTTTTTTAATCAAGATTTGAAGTTCTCCATTTCTAGCCACCCATCATTAAATACACATTTCCCCAGTATTTCACCAATCAAATTAATTACATAAGTGAATTTTAGTGAGAATTAGAAACGAAACAAAATATAAATCTTAATGATTTTACTGTTGCTCCTCATGAGCTGCTTCACTCTAAATGTGCTGGAGGTCAGGCACGTACACTGTATGTTAAATAACAGATCTTCCAACTTACAGCACTACCTATACATGCAAAAAGTGTTATTGTGCACTGAGGACTACATAAGGAGAATTAAAAGTTGGGATTTTCATAAAACTTGTTTACATTTGGCCTGAAAGGGGTCAAATTAAAATAAATATAAATTTACAAAATAAAATTCAAGTACTTTCAAGAATCTTGTATAAAAAATACTTAAAATATGAAGATTATTTTATGGCCTTGGATGTGGTATATAAAAATTAATGGACTTTCAAGGTTTTCAAGAACCCTGTGCAAACCTTGTTTGTAGTGTTGAACCATATCAATAAAGCAGCATCAGAAGGCATGATTCCAACAGTGAAAAACAGGTTACTTTATGACTTGTTACTAGCTGAACACCAGAAATAGTGAACAACATTAAAGAGCTTTTCACAGAAAATAATCCAAAGGCATAGCAATCTAGTTTAGTTAAAGTACGAACTGTAAACAAAATACTTAACATGGATTTAGGTGTAAAAAAAATGACACAAGAGCTGAGTTCACAAACTTCCCCCATAACAGATGACTAAAGAGAGGTCCAACTGTTGAGAACTACATGAGCAGCACTTGGCATCTGACAATGGATGAAGCATATGTATATTTATATGTCAGCAATAAAGTATGAGCAATTTATTATTGTTCTGCCAAGAAATTAATATTTAGAAATGGCAAAGAGTATGTTGAGAAATTTTCCAAGGAACTTATGGCATGCTATCAGGCTAATGTGTTACTGCAACTGCAGTGAGAGGATATGCAATCTTTGTATGGAATATATGACTAGATTCTAATAGTTTCCAGTCACGTGTACATAAATGTAAGGTGTATTGTCATCATAACTCAAACAGTTCTCGAAATACAAAAATACTAATTTTCAGTAACACATAGGTTTATTAGTGGTGAAAAACACTAGAACATAAAAACCACATCACTTACATTTTCACAAAGAATATCCCCGATAGTAAGGACCACGCCACCAATGCTCATTTTTTTGCGTACTCGCAATGATCTGAAAAATTATCAAAAATACTTCTTTACATAAAAGGAACAGTCTCCCTGACATAATAATCTATTATGAACATCAAAGTTTTTCTTTTAGCATGATAACTTTCTCTTACTATAATAGTCTTTAGTTTTACGTATCTTTTTCCTTCTAAACAAATGTTATAGCACCTTATTTGTTAACTTTTTATAAATAATAGTTTAAATCACAGGCAAACGTTTATCATTTGACATTATACTCACACAATGATTTCGTTTTGAAAAACGACATAATAAACATACATATTCATTACCGATGTCTTGAGTGTAATTAGTGCATTATAAGGAGTAACATACACACTTTAATTTCAAAAACGTAATGGTTACCTCCACTTCAAAATCACATGTGGTTTCTGTGCAATTTATACAACAGACAAGATTATATTTAAAGATTAAAAACAAAATACTTGTTTTTCGTGTTAGTATAATACTCTTACGTGTAAATATGTCCATATATAATTGTGAATAGATTTCTTTAATGCCTTTTTGTGAGCTAGTCCAAGAACATTAACTAATAACAACGAAGAAGAGACTAGTCAAATGGGGTGTATAACTCAACCCCACAAATTGAAAGGAGATAAGTTACTAGAGAAAAATTAATCCCATGACAAGGAAAGATGTTGGAAAGTGTTCTAAATAGAGAGAAGTATTAGGTCATCAAGAAATTAATGTCCCCCTCATAAAAATGTATATCACGTATAATACTTAAATGAACCGCCTAAAACATCATGTTAGAGTAGCCTGTATAATGTGTAAAGTTTACTATACTCTAATCACTTATAGTGATGGCACATGATGAGATAAACAATCGGCATGTAATACTGTTTGAATACAAAATGGGAAACAACACCTCTGTAGCCACAAAGAATATCAAAGAAGTTTATGAAAATGTTTTGAACATTTGTAAATGTCAACAATGGTTCAGCAAACTTCGTTCAGGTGACTTTAGCATTAAAAACTGTGATGGCAGGGGCCGACATGTTGGAATTGATATTGATGCTCTGAAGATGCTTGTTGAGCCTAACCCAAGGCAACACACTCGTGAAATGGCCCTGAAATTGTATGTCTCTCATGAAACAATAGATAAACAACTAAAGAATATGGGAAAACTCCATAAAAAAAGGTGTTTGGGTGCATCACAAACTCTCCGATGATCATCATTTTCAACATGTGAATGTTGCTTCGCTGGCGCATGAACCATTTTTGGACAGAATTGTTACCGGTGATGAAAAATGGATTCTTTATGCAAATATTAAATGCCAAAAACAATAGGTTCAGTCGTAGACAAAAACCACTTCCGACACCAAAACCTGGACTCCATCCACAGAAGGTGATGCTTTGCATTTGGTGGGACATCAAAGGAGTAATTCGTTTCGAACTCCTCAATCCACAACGAACTGTCAATGCAGATATCTATAGTCAGCAACTGGAATATTTAAATCAAGCCCTTCATTATAAATGCCCTTCACTCATCAATTGGAAAGGTGTTCTTTTCCACAACAATGCACGTCCACATGTAGCACATTTGAAGCAATACAAGATTATGGAGTTGGGTTGGGAAGTTCTCCCCCATTCATGATATTCTCCAAAACCTGGACTCCATCCGCAGAAGGTGATGCTTTGCATTTGGTGGGACATCAAAGGAGTAATTCATTTCAAACTCCTCAATCCACAACGACCTGTCAATGCAGAGATCTATAGTCAGCAACTGGAATATTTAAATCAAGCCCTTCATTATAAATGCCCTTCACTCATCAATTGGAAAGGTGTTCTTTTCCATGACAATGCACGTCCACATGTAGCACATTTGAAGCAATACAAGATTATGGAGTTGGGTTGGGAAGTTCTCCCCCATTCACGATATTCTCCAAATATGATACCATCAGATTACCATCTTTTTCGTTCAGTGCAACATCATCTTAATGGGAAAACGTATGCAAATGTAGAAGGTGTTAAAGAGGACATTAACATGTTTTTGCTTCAAAGCCAAGTGATTTCTTTAATCAGGGCATTAGCAACCTGATTGTAAGATGGAAAAGCATCATTGATAAGAATAGAGACTATTTCATTGAATAAATGTTTTGTTTTGATAAATAAGTTGTTAGGGTTTTTTCATCTAAAAAAATAGTGACATTAATTTCTTGATGACCTAATATTAGTGAGATAACAATAAATAAACCATATAGAACAAAGGAGACAATCTGGATCAGAATGACTGTACATGGAGGAAAGCGAAGGGAGGATGAATAGAGAAAACATTCAATCACCCTCCCAAGTCATCCAAATTTTTGGGCAATTAGTGAAGAATATCAGTCTGTCCCTGGGATGAACAGTGTGGAAGAAATATATCAGAAGCATAAACAAGGAGGTTGAACCACACCAAACACAAACCATCATCAGCCATTGTTGTAGAGTCTGGGATTATACAGAAGGAATTGAGGGGAGGTGGAAAGGCAGTGATGATAGGATACTCATAGTGGGAAAAAAATCCACTGAAACCATCAGAGAATGGAGAAACCACTATGTTGTAAGAGTCCAGGCCTAGGTAAGATGGTAGTTGATCCACTACCAGGGCCTGAAATTTCGAGAAAAGATAAATCAACAACCAAACATGGTGGTCATAGGCACAAAAGAGAAAATTCAAAGCCATGAAGTCCTGCAAGTGAAAGATTCACATTGGGGGAAGAAATAAGTAACAGAGGTGTCTATATTGATCTTGATAAGAAAGCCAGACAGATGAGAGAAAAGATGATGGCAAGTCTGCAAGTACTCACCAGCTCAAGGACAAAGAGACAGAGAAACCTTGCCCCTGGAAATGAACCAGGCATTTAGAACAGAAGAAGTGGGAAAGTGTGTTCGTAGGATTGGTTGGCATTAACCCTTTCGAGTTGGGTCACAGGTGAAAGGCCAT